TGTATTTAATGGCTGGAATAGAGATTAAGATCTGTATGCTGGGAAGTTTAGTCTTACAAATTACATTGCTAGTGCCACTTAGTTTGGTAAAATTTGTGCTGTCAGTTGCAAAGACTAAAGCACTGTACATGTTTCCTGACTGGTGCAACTGCCTTACAAACTCAATGTAAACTTAAAACAAATGAAAATCATACAGGCCTACACAGCATTCAAGATTCCTACCTTACCTGAGCTATGGAACTCTGTAATAACCTGGCTAAGCTCAATGTTGAATTTCGATGCTTCAAAACAACATGAAGGAAGTATTGAACCATATAGCATTTGCCCATAAGAAGACCAAGATTTTAAATTCTGTATGCATATGTGACTATCATAATAAAACCCCTCACTTTGTACTATGAATATATCCTGATAACTTTCTAACAATTCAAAGCAGAATTACTACTGAATACATCTCTTTTTGTGTCTTCTTAATAGAGTAATTATAATTCAGAGACTGTACATTATAGAGCTCCTGTCCTATCCTTTTGAAATGCAGAAAGTCACATGTGCATCTGAAATACGGGGACAGCAAAAGATTAACCTCATCCTGCTCAAGAAACTAAAGAACATCTTTCCAAACCCTGATGCTGCCTGTGCTTTGAGGAAAGAAACTTGGCAATTTATCTTGCTTAATAACTATAAGCATATGGATAAGAGAGGTCATGGAAAACTAAAAAAGTTATTCAAAGGACCGAGTTCACTATTTTTTATAACTTTTATGATATTGCTGGTTACTCCCCCATCTTCATTGTTACTTTTCCCTCTAATTGTATATGCATCATAATTATCTGTTAAAAATAGTGATGAAAAAAAAAAAAGCAAAGAGGTCACAAAGGAAGGAAAGTTTCAGCAGTGGAAGAAGGGACATCAGAGAGAATGTCCTAGGTGGGGAAAAGCAGACAATACACAGAGTAACATAGCATTCAGTGTTCCAAGCACAGCACTACAGTAACCCAAACTGTAATATTTAGGTTCCCCTTAATTCTTCTGTTTTTGTTTCTATCACTGCAGAAGAAGTGCAAACAGTGCAGTCAATTCTGCCTGCCACTGCTTACATAGTTCATACTTAGTTACTGCACTAGGAAGAGGGGAAGTAAGCATGATGAAATGAATGGGACACAGGTGTAAGTTTAGGATTTTGAGAGGTGTCCAATACTCTGCAATCCACTCCTAATTTCAAAGAATGTCTTATTATTTCATAACAAAAATACAAGCAAGAATATTGTTTGATATGACCATTAATTCCTTATATTATCAAGTTAGGTGTTTTTATTCTATTTGATGTGATCTTTTGTTATTTCCTTTAACTCTTTGGTGAAGGAAGAAGAGGATGGTGAAATGACAGATTATGCAAGTTTCTTTTAAGAGATCACTGAATCACTTTTAATAATAAGAATAATAATCAGATGTCTTCCCTCAGATTTAATCCACATATTGACAACAAACCCAGGTGCAACCTTACTCTTGAAGCACCTAGCTATTCTTTTTGTTTAATTTTTTATTAATTACACTTTATTCATTTTGTATCCCCCCATAAGCCCCTCCCTCCTCCCCTCCCAATCCCACCCTCCCTCCCCTTTCTGAAGCATGCCACTCCCCAAGTCCACTGATAGAGGAGGTTCTCCTCTCCTTTCTGGTCTTAGTCTATTAGTTCTCATCAAAAGTGGCTGCATTGTCCTCTACTGTGGCCTAGTAAGACTGCTCCCCCCTCAGGGGGGCGGTGATCAAAGAGCAGGCCAATCAGATTATGTCAGAGGCAGTCCCTCTTCCCATTACTATGTAACCCACTTGGACACTGAACTGTCATGGGCTACATCTGTGCAGGGGTTCTAGGTTATCTCCATAAATAGTCCTTGGTTGGAGTGTGAGTCTCTGGGAAGTTCCCTGTGTTCAAATTTTCTTGTTCTGTTGCTCTCCTTGTGGAGTTCCTGTCTTCTCCAGCTCTTACTATTTCCCACTTCTTACATAAAATTCCATTCACTCTGCCCAACAGTTGGCCATCAGGCTCAGCATCTGCTTTGACAGTCTGCAGGGCAGAGGCTTTCAGAGCCCTCTGTAGCAGGTTCCGAGGTTTTTTCCTATTTTCTTTTTCTTCTGATGTTCATCCTCTTTGCCTTTCAGGATGGGGATTGAACATTTTAGTTAGGGTCCTCTCTTTTGCTTAGTTTGTTTAGATGTACAGATTTTAGTGGGTTTATCCTATGTTGTATGTTTATATGAGTGAGTATATACCATGCGTGTCTTTTTGCTTCTGGGACAACTCACTCAGGATGATCCTTTCCAGGTCCCACCATTTACCTGCAAATTTCATGATTTCCTTATTTTTCCTTGCTGAGTAATATTCCATTGTATAGATGTACCAAAATTTCTGCATCCATTCTTCAGTTGAGGGGCATCTGGGTTGTTTCCAGCTTCTGGCTATTACAAATAAGGCTGCTACAAACATGGTTGAGCAAGTGTCCTTTTTGTGTACTTGAGCCTCTTTTGGATATATGCCTAGGAGTGGTATGGCTGGATCTTGGGGAAGCGCTATTCCTAGTTCTCTGAGAAAGCACCTGTAGATTTCCAGAGTGGTTGTACCAGTTTACATTCCCACCAGCAGTGGAGGAGGGTTCCCCTTTCTCCACAACCTCTCCAGTATGTGTTGTCACTTGAGTTTTTGATCTTGGCCATTCTGATGGGTGTAAGGTGAAATCTCAGGGTTGTTTTGATTTGCATTTCCCTAATGGCCAATGAGGTTGAGCATTTCTTTAAGTGCTTCTCTGCCATTCGATATGCCTCTAGAGAGAATTCTCTCTTTAGCTCTGTTCCCCATTTTTTTAGTGGGTTACTTGTTTGCTGCTTTTCAGCTTCTTTAGTTCTTTATATATACTGGATATGAGTCCTCTGTCAGATAAAGGGTTGGTGAAGATTCTTTCCCAATCTGTAGGCAGTCGCTTTGTTTTGAAGACGGTGTCCTTTGCTTTGCAGAAGCTTTTCAGTTTCATGAGGTCCTATTTATTGATTGTTGCTCTTAGAGCCTGTGCTGTTGGTGTTCTGTTCAGGAAGTTTTCTCCTGTACCAATGAGTCCTAAGGTATTCCCCACTTTATTTATTTATTTATTTATTTATTTATTTATTTATTTATTTATTTATTTATTTTTTTGTAGCTGATTTAATGTGTCTGGTTTTATGTTGAGGTCTTTGATCCACTTGGACTTCAGTTTTGTGCAGGGTGATAAGTATTAATCTATCTGCATTTTTCTACATGTAGACATCCAGTTGGACCAGCACCATTTGTTGAAGATGCTATCTTTTCTCCATTGTATGATTTTGGCATCTTTGTCAAAGATCAGGTGTCCATAAGTGTGTGGGTTTATTTCTGGGTCTTCTGTTGGGTTCCATTGATCCACCATTCTGTTTCTATGCCAGTACCTTACAGTTTTTAAAACTGTTGCTCTATAGTACAACTTAAGATCAGGGATGAAGATACCTCCAGAAGATCTTTTATTGTAGAGGATTGTATTAGCAATCCTGGGTTTCTTGTTATTCCATATGAAGTTGAGAATTTTTCTTTCCAGTTCTGTAAAGAATTTTGTTGGTAATTTGATCGGAATTGCATTGAATCTGTAGATTGCTTTTGGTAAGATGGCCATTTTTACTATGTTAATCCTGCCAAGCCATGAGCATGGGAGATCTTTCCATCTTCTGATATCTTCTTCTAATTCTTTCTTCGGAGACTTGAAATTTTTTTTTCATACAAGTCTTTGACTTCCTTGGTTAGGGTTACTCCGAAGTACCTTATACACCTAGCTATTCTTAAGTCTGTTGTCTTCCTACTTTCACAAAATGAAATAATCTTAACAGTCTAAAAGTATGAAATAGTCTTATAGGGACTAAATATTTTTTTAAAAAGTGACACTCCTGCATGATAAGTGAATTAAGTTGAGAATTAACACACATACACATACACATACAAACTACAGAGAGAGAGAGAGAGAGAGAGAGAGAGAGAGGAGAGAAAGAGAGAAAGACACTTGTCTTCTCTGCTAATATCCCTCTGCCTTGACCTTATGCAAACCTATTTTTTCTTGCATTCTTTGAGTTTCTGACACATCCTGTCCTTTGAAAGGCATGTCATTAGTTAGAGAAAATTCTCATGTAAAACCTAGAAGTTCTCAGGAATATCTGCACTGAGAAGGAAAGAATATCTAGAGACCAGGAAAAATTAGTGCAACAGTCTCTGGCTTCCAAAGCTCCTGCCTCAATTTAATCACAATCAATGCTAATTAATGCATTTTTTTCTTATGCACAAACCAAATATCTGACCAAAATGCAACCCAATGAAGGAAGACTTCATTTTGGCTCATGATTTGGGGATTCACTTTGCCATAGTTGGGAAAACACTGAAGCAGAAGCAGCTCGTCAGAGCAGCAGCCCTGAGTGCCAGTGTGTCTGAGTGCTGAGGCTGAGTGCACACACCTTGGTGTCTAAGCAAATGCATAGAACAGGAAGCAGGATGTGGCAATAAACCTCAAGATCTTGCTCCCTTAGATTTTTCCAGTTAGAATCCACCCTCTAAAGGTTCTACAAACTTCCAAAATGGTACCCTCAGCTTAGGGCCATTTAGTGAACAGACAAGCCTCTGAGAACTCTTTTTACATTCAAACCATAATCCATTACATGTAAATAATAACATTAAACACATAATTGTGCAACAGAAACAAAGAGTTTATTCAGGTAAAATTATATGAATTTGTAACTTTGGGAGAAGTGAAAAATCATCAGTTTTATCAATGTCGTGGCTGAGTTTGTCATTAGTCTTGCAGTTTGACAGAGCCAGTTTCAAATGTGAGGGTTAGAAAGGAAAGACAACAGAAAAATCAAGAAAATTTCAAAAGTTCTCAAGGATAAAATGAAAGAACAAATTTTCTACAGAATCTGCATTGGGTCTTGGTGTTAGAGAGTCAACAGATTAGTCAACAGAAGCGAGATGTATAGAATGGCTGGTAACAAGAAGAGTAGAAACCCCTAGAAGGAATAAAGAGTGGGCTGCAGACAGTGGATCTGAAATATCTGGAAGGAAAGCTGTGGACTCCGTAATTCAGAGATCTGAAGCCACTGAATCCACAGCCCCTGGAGTAGCAGCTTCTAGATCCATAGCCCAGGGAACGGCAGCTGCTGGACCCAAAGCCCAGAGACCCAGCATATGTCCCCTGGTAGGGACTGTACGGTGTGCAGCTCCTGGGGTAGTAGCAGGGCAGTTGGCAGGGGCTGGACACCACACAGGACCTCTGGCAGCTGGTGGGCTCAACGCAGGTCTCCTGACAGCCACTGCTGAGAGAGGAGTCCAGCTGGCAGGTGCTGGGAGAGCAGCTGGTGGTGGTGTAGACCAGGTTGCTGGGGTAGGAAGAGCCACAGGAGGATCCTGAGGGCAGGCAGCGCCTAAAGGAGCGGGAGGAGTAGTTTCCAGAGCAGCAGCTGTAGGCCATGATGAGAGGAGACGAGCGTTCAGCTGGATGTGACAGGGAGAGTCTGAGTCTGATGGTCACCACGTGGAGAGCTGGGCTTATATACCCTCAGCAGCAGGTGTGGTGCCCAGCAGTGTCATCCTTGATGCATTTGTGTGCTTCCTGGCTTACAAATGTGTAACTCAGTAATCTCTGTAATTGTAGTTGCATTCCAATAGATTTTTGCACAGTATATTTATGAGTGTTGTAACAAAGGCCAGAGAGCTACTCCTATCTACAAAATGCTATGACTATTTTATAATAATGCCTGCCCTGTCCTAGCTAAGGAAGCCCTTCTTACTCCTTTACTGTGTGCTACCTTCCTGTGCTTGGCTGTGCACTCCTGCCTCTGTTTAGTTACATGAACACTGGATCTGTTTCCATATGGATAGGAGCATTCATAAGAATGGTCCATTGTGTCAACCTCCATTGCCATTCTGCCAAATTAATTTATGTAATCTAGTGAGGTAGTAACTGAACATAATTATACTATTGTCTACAGTTACCCATTCGGTATCAAATCGAATAGAGAGATATATTCAAAATAGATAAAAGCAACATACTAAGAGAAGTGGCTAGAGACTGAGACAGGTTGTTGAAAAGTATCTCAGTTGAAGCAGACCCACTTTAATAAAGGGAGTAAATAAGTACATGAATAAAAATGAAGGAACATGGGGTGTTTTGTTGTAGTCTTGTTTATATTTTTAAAAACAAGAGTTTGCAATGTTGTCCAGGCTGTCATGGAATGAGTGATCTCTCTGTCCTAATGTCCTCGGTGCTGAGACTGAACATGGTCCCATGTCCTATTGCACTCTTACACTGTGTTTAGTCTTGTTTCAATGCCGCCATAATCAATTTTTGCAAATAACCATTACATTTTCCTTACTGCCCTCTCACCATCTGCGTCTGTAACCATTGCAGCTTTCTAACCATTGCAGCAGCCTATATCTTCTTGTGCTATTGGCTAGCTAACGACGTTTTGTCAGTGCTATATCCTGGTACCCAACTGCAACTTCCTGCGTAAGTAAGATTTCTCATCCTTTCCAAGATTTTTTTTCTATTCTGGAGTTGACAAATGTATGAAGTACAATTTTCTTTTTCCTTGTCCTCCTCCTTCTCCTCCACTTCTTTCTCGATTTATTTTTCTCCCCTTCATCCTCTTATTCTTCCCCATCTTCCTTCTATTCCTCTTCTCTCCTTCTCTCTGTTTTTCTAATCCTCTTACCACCATTTATCTTTTTGTTTGTGCTGTGTTTAAGTTTTACTTTTTAAAAATTTTCTTCTTTGCTTTCTTTTATTTTTACTCAGTAGTTTGGTTCCTAGAAAACTATAGATTTAGAGTTGAAACTACAGCTGGGATAAAAAGTGAATAAATTGCATTAATACATACATACATACATATATACATACATAAATTTTTAAAAAAGAAAAAAGTTGAAAATAGGTTTGATATGCTTTATCAAATTCTTAGTGTATAACCAGCATTTTCTATATTCACTGATAAAATATTCTGTAAAAATACATATAAATGATATTCAGACAGAACAGGGTTGTATTATGACAGTCTATTGTGTAAAAATACCACAATTTCTGTACCCATTCCTCCATTGATGGACATCTGGGTTGTTTCCAGGTTCTGGCTATTACAAATAAAGTTGCTATAAACATGGTTGAGCAAATATCTCTTTTGTGTACTTGAGCAAACTTTGGGTATATACCTAGCAGTGGTATAGCTGGGTCTTGAGGAAGCACGATTCCTAATTGTCTTAGAAAGCGCCAGATAGATTTCCAGAGTGGTTGTACCAGTTTACATTCCCACCAGCAGTGGAGGAGGGTTCCCCTTTCTCCACAACCTCTCCAGCATGTGTTGTCACTTGAGTTTTTGATCTTGGCCATTCTGATGGGTGTAAGATTAAATCTCAGGGTTATTTTGATTTGCATTTCCCTAATGGCTAATGAGGTTGAGCATTTCTTTAAGTGTTTCTCTGCCATTCGATATTCATCTGTTGAGAATTCTCTGTTTAGCTCTGTTCCCTATTTTTTAATTGGATTACTTGGTTTGCTGCTTTTCAGCTTCTTTAGTAATTTATACATACTGGATATTAGTCCTTTATCAGATAGAGAGTTGGTGAAGATTCTTTCCCAATCTGTAGGTAGTCGTTTTGTTTTGATGACGGTATACTTTCATTTACAGAAGCTTTTCAGCTTCATGAGGTCCCATTTATTGATTGTTGCTCTCAGAGCCTGTGCTGTTGGTGTTCTGTTCAGGAAGTTGTCTCCTGTGCCAATGAGTTCAAGGGTATTCCCCACTTTTTCTTCTAACAGATTTAGGGTATCTGGTTTTATGTTGAGGTCTTTGATCCACTTGGACTTTAGTTTTGTGCAGGGTGATAAGTATGGATCTATTTGCATTTTTCTACATGTAGACATCCAGTTGGACCAGCACCATTTATTGAAGATGCTGTCTTTTTTCCATTGAATGGTTTTGGCTTCTTTGTCAAAAATCGAGTATTCATAAGTGTGTCGGTTTATTTCTGGGTCTTCTATGTGGTTCTATTGATCCTCCTTTCTGTTTTTATGCCAATACCATGCAGTTTTTATTACAATTGCTCTGTAGTACAACTTGAAATCAGGGATGGAGATACCTCCAGATGATCTGTTGTTGTATAGGATCGTTTTGGAGATTCTGGGTTTTTTGTTTCTCCATATGAAGCTGAGAATCTTTTTTTCAAGGTCTGTAAAGAATTGAGTTGGTATTTTGATGGGAATTGCATTGAATCTGTAGATTGCTTTTGGCAGGATGGCCATTTTCACAATGTTAATCCTACCAATCCATGAGCACAGGAGATCTTTCCATCTTCTGAGATCTTCTTCAATTTCTTTCTTCAGAGACTTGAAGTTTTTCTCAAAAAGGTCTTTCACTTGCTTGGTTAGTGTCAACCCAAGGTACTTTATGTGGTTAGTGGCTATTGTGAAGGGTATTGTTTCCCTAATTTCTTTCTCGGCCATTTTGTCTTTGGTATAAAGGAGGGCTTCTGATTTTTTTGAGTTGATTTTATATCCTGCCACTTTGCTGAAGGTGTTTATCAACTGGAGGAGTTATCTGGTTGAATTCTTGGGGTGGCTCATATATACTATCATATCATCTGCGAATAGTGACACTTTGACCTCTTCCTTTCTGACTTGTATCCCATTGATCTCCTTTAGTTGTCTTATTGCTCTGGCTAGGACTTCAAGTACTATGTTGAAGAGATATGGAGACAATGGGCAGCCTTGTCTTGTCCCTGATTTCAGTGGGATTGATTTAAGTTTCTCTCCATTGAGTTTGATGTTGGCTATAGGCTTGCTGTATATTGCCTTTACTATCTTTAGGTATGTGCCTTGTATCCCTGATCTCTCCAAGACTTTAAACATAAATGGGTGTTGAACTTTGTCAAATGCTTTTTCAGCATCTAAGGAGATGATCATGTGTTTTTTCTCCTTCATTTTGTTTATGTGGTGGATTACATTGATGGATTTTCGTATGTTGAACCACCCTTGCATTCCTGGGATGAAGCCTACTTGGTCATGGTGGATGATATCTTTGATGTGTTCTTGGATTCGGTTTGCAAGTATTTTATTGAGTATTTTTGCATCAATGTTCATAAGAGAGATAGGTCTGAAGTTCTCTTTTTTTATTGGGTCTTTGTATGGTTTAGGTATCAGGGTGACTGTTGCTTCATAGAATGAGTTTGGTAATGTACCTTCTGTTTCTATTTTATGGAATAGTTTGAGGAGAATTGGTGTGAGCACTTCTTTGAAGGTCTGGTAGAATTCCGCGCTGAAACCATCTGGCCCAGGGCTTTTTTTGGAGGGGAGACTGTGAATGACTGCTTCAATTTCCTTGGGGGATATAGGGCTGTTCAGTCTTTCTACCTGATCTTGACTTAATGTTGGAAGATGGAATCTATCAAGAAAATTGTCCATTTCATTTAGATTTTCAAATTTTGTGGCATATAGGCTTTTGTAGTATGACCTAATGATTGTTTGAATTTCCTCTGTGTCTGTAGTTATGTCACTCTTTTCATCTCTGATTTTGTTGATTTGGATAGATTCTCTCTGCTTTTTAATTAGTTTGGCTAAGGGTTTGTCTATGTTGTTGATTTTCTCAAAGAACCAGCTTTATATTTCATTGATTCTTTGAATAGTTTTATTTGTTTCTAATTGATTGATTTCAGCCCTGAGTTTGATTATTTCCAGCCTTCTGCTCCTCTTGGGTGTATCTGCTTCTTCTTTTTCTAGGGTTTTCAGTTGGGCCATTAAGTTGTTTGTATGTGATGTTACGAATTTCTTTTTTTTTATTATTATTATTTTATTATTATTTTCCTTTTAGTTACATTTTGTTAACTCTGTGTCCCAGCTGTATCCCGCTCCCTCATTCCCTCCCCAACCCCACACTCCCTCCCTGGTCTCCTCCCTGCCCCTTTCCAAGTCCACTGATAGGGGAGGACCTCCTCCCCTTTCATCTGACCCTGTTTTATCAGGTATCTTCAGGGCTGACTGCAAAGTCCTCCTCTGTGGCCTAACAGACTGCCCCCCCCCGGGGGGGGGGGGGGTCAAACAGCCTGCCCTTGAGATCCTGTTAGAAATAGTCCGTGTTCCCCTTACTTTGGAAAACTACTTGGTTACTGAGCTACCACGGGCCACATCCGAGCAGAAGTTCTAGGTTATATCCATAGATGGTCCTTGGTTGAGTGTCAGTCTCAGAAAAGACCCTGTGCCCAGATATATTTGGTCCTTGTAGAGCTCTTATCCTTTCCATATCATACTAACTTCCCTTCTTTCATATGATTTCCTGCACTCTGCCGAGGTTTTGGTTATGAGTCTTAGTGTCTGCTTTGAAACACTGCTAGGTAGAGTCTTTCAGATGCCTTTTGTGGTAGACTCCTGATTTCTTCTTGTAGGCACTTAGTGCTATAAATTTTCCCCTGAGCACTGCTTTC